CCCGTCGCAATCGTAAAATGATTCGGAAACGAGCTAGTCATGAATGAGCTCACGATTCCTTCCGGAACTGTGACCCCGTCAGAGATCAATTGATCGAAATAAGGCGTCTCCACTTTGTCCAAATAATCCCACCTGAAACCATCAAAGCTGACCAGTAAAGTAAACAAACTTTCTTCGGAGAGCCCAATAATTATAGTTAAACCATACACAGCGAATATATACCTAGTCACCTCCATTGGTCTTGCATATTAGTGCATTAGCTAAATGCCAAGGTTACACACACTATACAGTGACAGGTATTGACCCGGGTATTTAAAAACTATTTATAAACATAAATATTTATAAACTCAAATGGCAGTATAAATCTGGATGGCAGTTCACATACAATTCAACCAACACAGGAAATGTATGTATTGTGACATCATCCGTTTTCATTAATATTGATAAGCTTGTTCAACATCATCCAATCAGCTAGCATTTCATAATAAATAAACAATACGTCACAACCACATCACTGCATTCATTCCTCAGCTCCTGAGCGCGAGGTTATTTGTAGATAAGTTGGCGATCGCCGCTGTGTCTGCGGAAGTACTATGGGAGATTGCATGATGGGAGTGAAAAGTCTTTTGATCAGTAAAATAATTTTAGAAAATTGAAAACTAAAGTGACTGTGAAATAAAGGTTGGCTTAAATTATTAAATATCATGACATTTGGATGTAATAATGAAAGGAAATTGAACTGGTATGAAAGGGCAGTACATGTAGCCCGAACGCAAGGTCAGAATCCGGGGTCATAATACGTCACAATACATCCATCAAGGCGGTTGCAAAGTGTCAACAACTATGGATGAGGTAAAAGACATGAAAATACATTAACCATGGTCAATAATCATACACAAAAATACAATAACACGAAATACAGAATATAAAAAAACAAAACAAAAACAGGTAACGCTAACAACTATAAGGTAAAATTATGTTGATAAACTTTCCTAGACTGTTGGCAATGAATCTTTTATTTCTATAATATGCTCAAACATATCTTCTTTTGGTAATTTTAAAATATTATGATTGTACAATGATAGAGTATTCAAAAAGTTGCTATGTGCCTTTACAATTTCATCCAGTATTCAGTCAAAAAAAAGCATGCATTTCATCACCAACAAACTGATCAGAACACTGTGTGCAAAATCTTTGCTCTGAGGGTATTTTTTGGTATCTTAATTTTCAATTGGTAATATATATATATTTAGTTTATATACTGATCGCGTCAATCATAAATTGTCTTATATTGTTTACGTCATTTGTTATTGTTCTGAGTAATCAGATGAGTAATATAAGATGGGAGCGTGTAAAGAGAGCGTGTACATTTCTGAAATGAACATAAAAAACAAGCGCTACTTGGCGCGTGACTGATTTTTCAGCTCCTGAGAGCGAGGTTATTTGTAGATATGTTGGGAGATTGCTGGTATGAAAGGGCAGTACCGTTACATGTAG